TTTATATAAGACTGCCAAGAAGTGACGGCAACAATGTAATGTAATGCTGTGTAATTGAACTGTGGACAGAGAGACATATTGTTGAGTCGAGCACGTGAGGCGTTCGTTGTGAATTATAGCGTTCGTTATAGCGCGACTGTGGAAATTAAGTGTATGGCAAAGTTATATTCAGAAAGAATAAACCAGTTTTATTTAAGAAAGGACTTGTGTAGCTAAAGTTTCGTCGGAACGAAATTTACGGAAAATTAACTAACGAACGGAGGTGTAACACGCCGTTCCCGACAAGCCTTTCGTTCAATATCAGAACTCGCCAGGTCGTGGTTTGTTAAATCTTATTGCAGTTAAATAATGATATAGTCGTACAAACAACAAATTATTATCATTTTTAAAGATCGTAATGTCAATAATGTAGTACAAATACACAGTGCAGAACGATTATAACACCAATAATATTTTATGATCAAAAGGCCTAAAATTTGTGATCAAAGTCCGTATGCAACAGTTTTTTTTTTTCTCCTCATTCCTTTTAATTTCATCATTTTGGATTCAAAATCACAGACGTGTAAAAATAGTATTTTAGATTTATCTTTCTCTGGAGAAATATGGAGGCAGACATCTCCAGTTTATTTTATTTTTAGCACAAATTTTAGAGCTGGAAGTTTCTAATGCTTCTCCAGCTTTCAGCGTTTAAACCGTAACCTTTAATAATTATATTATAGATTATCTTAATTTTCACCAAAGCTAAAATTGAAAGTTTAATCTGTAACGTAGAAGCCTACTACATTTCTTGATTCGTCGCACCTGCGCTGTAGACCGCTGTTTCGCCTATTTAAGGTTCTTCAGCGCAGATTAGATCAACAAACCAAAGAAATACAGTTAGGCCTCTTATAATGGTGAAGTATATATAAGGATTAAGACTTTTTAGCTCACCATATAGTTAGCTAATTAAGATTAGGTGCGTGAATAATATTATGACATTGTGCCTATTTTATTATTCGATATCGTGCACCGGACCAACTGTTTAATCGAAAATTTGTTAGACAGGCCTAACACTATCATTATTGTGAAATCAAACAGTCATTAGAGAACATTTATAACCCGAATACTTAACACAAAGCTTTGATAGGATTTTTTAACCTGAGACATAAATGCTCCTAGGTTGTATCCACCAAAAGTTTATAATGCGAAAAATACGCAATATTGCTATTTGTGTAAACGAACAGTCGTTAGGTCATAGGTGCGTATATTCAAGCATTGAATCATTCATCATGTTGTATAATCTGTTTTCTTTTAACAAAATGTAACTTTACTAAGCTCTGAACCAAATGTTAATTGTGTACTTTCTATTGAAGATGTTTTTTTCTTTTTCTCTCACAGCTGGATTACGTGTATCGCCCGTCATGGCAGGCACAGATAGCAGGAAGAAAAACATGGAGGCTATTCCCGCCTCCCGAGTGTGAATCAGTGTGTACCTCAATGAACGTCACTGTTGTCAAGGGAGACATAAGTATGACAATTATTGTTTTAGGCTTTCACGTAAATAAGGATAATTTTTTTGGGGGAAAAAACTTAAATAAAGATTACACAAATATAAGTACCTGATGATGACAAAACCTTGTCGAAACGTTGTACATTTGCTGTTATG